GCCAAGAATAATTTGTTCTAGAAATTTTTTCGACACTAGTCGGTTGAAAATGACCTTGCACCCCCTGAAAAATTCCCTGAGGACGGCCCTGCTAAAATCTCTTCAATTTTATCATTCTTTTGCAAACATAAGCACCAACAGAGGTATTTAAGTTTGTTTTCGATTGAGAAACGCCTAAAATATTAAAATACAAAGTGATAACATGTATTAAAATTATAAAATCTCAAATTTACTATAATTAGGATGAGTTTTGAGGTTTATAGTTGCAAATAAAATAATGAATTATTAATTTTGGGACGAAAAGTAAAATTAAGTTTCTTTCTAAATTTATTCACTTCATTAAGGTGCACCAAATCGGCGACGCGGACACGACTAAAAACAGTCGCTAATGATTGGTGTGACCAGTTTTACTTTGTTTTTGTTGTGTCTTGGCCTTGTTTACCAAAAACAATTTTACCAAAAACAATTTGGTGTATCTTAAGCTCTCTAATGTTGTGTTTATTCGACGTAGATGGCAACTGTTCATGCGTTTTGCTCCTTAATCTTGCTGGTCTCTGCATCACTCCTCGCAAAAACAACTAGCACATATGACTCAGGAGAAGTTAAAGTGTGCAAGGCCTTGGAAAAAGCTTCCAGTGACGCACGATGTTATCAGCTGACCATTGGGGTGGTGAGTACATAAATAATTTATCATAAGTTCAATGACCAATTATAGACTGTGTCCTAATAATATATAGCTATGATAGACTTTACTGCATGCTTGGCACTTTTTACCGATTGGTTTCGTTTTTATACCCTGCAAAATATCCCTGAGTATCTTACTCAAGATCGAGAGCAAAGTAATGCACCCCCAGTGAAGTAAATTTGAGTAATTTTACTAAAATTACTTAATTAATCCCCGAGCAAACAGCTCAAAGCACCGTTCCAGGCTTAAGCCCCGGGCGAGGTACCAGTGAAGCATTAGCGAAGCTAGCCTAAAGTCGTGTCATGGTTAAATTAATGGTGTATGGGTGGACCTCCTCAATGAGGTAAGCAAGAATTTCAATTTTCAAAAACAAATATTACGAAAATTGTTTGGTACAATGTCAATGAGCTTTCGAGAAATTTGTTGTTTTGTTGATATTTGTTTCCAACAAATTGTTCTATTTTCTAATTATAAAATATTCTAACGTTTTTATTATTTGTTTGAAATTTCGACGTTATTCTGCATCTGCAAATTTCCATAAAAATCTAGCTCCGCAGAATGCCGGAATGCGCATTTTGGAAATGATTAAATTTACTGCGGGATAATGTCTCGCATTCCCGTACAAAACGTGTGCTAATCCATCTGAAACCAGTTCAGTTGGGCCAGTCCGTGAGCATGTCACAGCTTAGGAATAGTAGTTAATTTTCCTTGAATATATTAATACTAATAATACTAAAAACCCATACTTAGGAGATGGTTAGTATTCTTGTTCTCCTGCAAGTGAGATAGGCAAGCATGCACTTTGTTGTTGGTTTCTCCAAATCTAACCAGCGCCCCCTTCTGTGTTAATAATGAAGAGGTTCTAAAAATAATAGTTTCCTGTGGCTCTCCTACAATGTTATTTCTTTTTCATTCATTCAGGTATTTGGTTTTGTATCCATGGCACTGTTTATTGCAGACACCATTATTTACATCTCCATTTTGATGCGAAACGTGGGAATCAGTTTCGTAAACATGGAAAATGTTACATCATAAGAAACTTGACAAGAGAGAATCAAAACTTCCGTTGGTTTAAAGACTAAACTGTTTTTGTTTGTATACGTTGCTTTGGTAGATTACACATGCAGTTCATATATATGTTGCATGACCATGGTTATACAGGGTGTCCCCAAAAAAGGCAATAGGTATATTTTCCAGATTTTTACGCGGCTAATTATTAGTGGCATTGAGAATTTAATCTATAAGCGATGAATTTTACTCTACGATTAAAATTAGTCCAGTAGAACCAATGTTATGGCTGTTTTACATATAAATTGCATAGTTCACCCATGCAATGGACCATTGAAATCATGCATTAGTTGTGTAAAGTATCAATAGGTCTGATAACCCCTAACTTTAAAACAAGTATATAACATTGATTCCATTTTAGATCACTTTTGACAGTTTTAGCTAGCTTCAAAATCAACTCTTATTTTAAATTGGCGATGCTCACTATAGTAGCTAGCTTGTCGTGTGTAAAATTCTAGAACCTGATATAGCTATGGCATTTTTCGGGGCACCTAGCTGTATAGTATAACATGTGCACATGTGGTTTTTTGAAATTAAATTTTTGTTTGCGTTCCATATAGCAGATCTCTTTATAAAATAGATAGTCGACTGATCTGAGAGATTTCTTCTACAGTGTTTTAATTGATTTAACAGCTTACAGCCCTTGTAAAAATAATTATAAACTATTAGCACCTGCAATGGCAGGTCATCCGCAACAGCGCAAGCCAATTACTGCCACCCGTTTAATTTAGCAACAACAAACATAATGATATATAGGAACAAGCTGTTTTCTTGTCCTCAGAGGCAAGTCGTAAGATACTATTTCGACACTAAACCAACTTTTAAACAACTGAAATAACGAGAGAAGCAATTAAACAAAGATGCTTTGAGAACAACAAACTAACGCTTTCCGAAACATACAACAAACGAAAACATAATATACATGCAACATGATATCGGATTGGTAAGACTATAGAATTATATATAATATTTAGAAAGAATAGACTTGAATATTGAGAGACCACAAGTCCCCAGTTTCCGTGAGAATGTTCCAGGCACGGTTAATTGTTCGTATGAAGAAGGATCGGATCGTTGATGGATGGTTGTTTTGCATTTGGGTATGATGAACTTGGTGGCAGTATACTGGTGGAAGGTCTTGTAGCTAGGTGTGTCTCGAGGTTCGGATGGTTGGAATGAGAGAAGGTTTAACATTAACAAGAGCATATCCAAGTAGTCATGCCAATAGCAAATGGGTAGTACGGACAGGGTTTGCAGTCTACAGTGATTGCAATCTACAGTGATGTAGTTGAGGCGAAATGTAGCTGTAGAAAAAATTTTTCGCGCACTGTATTATATTCATCGTAACATACTCAATTTTCCTTGATATATTCGTGAGGAATACCCAACAGTGCGTTGTCAACATTAAGTTCACTCAAGTGTTCAATCACGAAGCACAGACAGCTGCGGTGGAAGGATTAGTTAACGGTAATACCAATCCACTATGATAACATTCCCTGTAAGAGGAAACCGGAGTTGCTGGAGAAAACCCACAACTTTTGTCAGAGTTTGACTGACTCTTCTACCTTCATTATTCCTCAAGGTTTGGCCATAGGGTAGTAAACGATGAGATTCAAGCATCCTGAGATAATATACCCTTCCAAATGCTATAATATGTGACCAATTGCAAAGTGACTTACCAACAAGAATATAACGAATTGGAAATCCTTATTGAAATAGTATTTCAAAACTGAAGTAGGTTTTAGAACAATTACTATATTAATAATATACAAGAGAATGTAACTTGACTGTGCATGATTGGTTGGTTTCAGTGCATTTAATCCCAAACAGTAGTGCAAAAATCTGTAACAACAGTGCAAAAATCTGTAATAACAGTGCAAAAATATCTAACAACAGTGCAGGAATCTGTAATAACAGTGCTAAATCTGTAACAACAGTGCAAAAATCTGTAACAAACTGATCTGATTTGTGGAAAAACATCGTGATGATGAAATCAACCAATCAGTTTAAAGCAGTTTATTTTAAAGAAGTTACGGTCACAAATAATGACAGATTACTTCAAAACAAAACAAACATGGTGCCGCGCTACATAAAGTAAAAGTTCACTTCGCGTGGAAAATACGGCTTTTATCTTTATTTTTAAATGGAAAAGCCTTTACTGTAAATTCTGCTCCAGTTAATCAATATTCGACAAGTTCACATACGATATTCGTTCGAATTCGATTTAAACTAAATACAATAATTAAACGTTAATACAACTAATGTTAAAATTATAATGGAAAATTACTATCTATAAATGAATAGTTCCTTTACTTTGTCGTTGAGACATTCTAAATGTTCTAAATATTAATAAAAGTTCTATTTTTTTGTCCCTTTTTACTGTGTAATCTCAAATAACCAATGTTAGAAAACATGGCGACCGGCCGCGTTTTATATTCGCCATGAAGAAGCATGGCACTAGTTCCGACCACGACCGACTGTTCACGAAAGTTCGCGATTATAAAAAATTAATTATGCATTATTTACACTCTCCCCCCAAAACCTTCTCTAAGATTTTTGTTCAATTTCTCGTATCAAATCCTCTTCTAACAGGCATAACTTTCTTATGTCCCTTCGATAACTTCCTGTCGCAGTACGCACAGACACTTCACGTCCAACTCCAAAGCTATCTGGAAAGACATGTTCAACAATTCCCTTTGACCATTTTCCTCTTGGAAGGTTGTTGTCCACCACTAGCACAAGTTGACCTTCCTTGAAATTTGGACGTCGTTAAAACCACCTTTGTCTCTCTTGAAGGGTTGGCACATATTACTTCATCCATCTCGACCAAAACTCATTGCAAGAACGTTCACGTGTTTCGATCTCGCAGCATACTGATCGATTTTCTTGAACTCCCCCGGTGCCACGCTATAGGGTTGTCCCGTAATAACAAAATATGATTCGGCGTTAAATTAAACAAGACTAACTAAACTTACACTGTTGAGTGGAATTTTCATACTGTTAGCGTTGTATAATGTGAGATAGGCCTATAACAAAGCCAGGAAAACTTTGCCAGTGGAATGTTCGCTATAGACGTTATAATTAACGTAACTTAAAACTACAATTGTCTCGAACATTTTTTTGTAAATTATTAATGAGTAATAGCATGGTTTCTCGTGAAATTTGGATAAACATGCACTCGTGACTTTTTCGAAGACCTCAAGTAGCACTTTGAGATCTTTGAAAAACTCACTCGTGCATGTTATATCCAAATTGCACTCGAAACCATGCTATTACCTATAAATACAGCAGGCGAAAAAGGTGCATGAATCCGCTAACTATTCTGTATAATTAAGGTCATGTAGACCATCATGCTTGTTCGCTTTGGGCTCATTCAATGCGGCACCAAACATCTTGCCACAATACGCAGTGGGAACTTCATTTAATATTGCAGACTTTCGATTCCAGTTCCATTTAATATTGCCGACTTTCGATTCTAGTTCCTGGAATCAGGACTAAATCACTCGCTCGGGTGAGCAATGTTTAGTTGCTGCGTATAGGCCAGTCGATACGTAGATAAATCATACATCTTCGAAGAGGAGTATTGGCAATCTACCATTGCAAAAAAACATGAGTTTTCTTCGTCGGGTACTGATACTAGAAATATTCATTGAACTAGCTGCCAGTATATAAGGGTAAGAGGTTTGATCTATTTTACGAAATATACATGTTTGACAATTTCAACAAGTAGCTTAAAGCAAGCATTTGCGACAATGGGCAACTGCTGTAGATAAAGATCGGCGAGATTGTCATTGCCTTTGATTGTCCAGCGTTTCTGGCACTGAATTATCGTTTTCAAGAATATTCCGGTGAAATTTCATTCAGAGGCATTTAATTCTTCATCATTACAAGAGTTTGCAAGTCGGCGAGAAACGGCATTTTGAAATATTTGCTTACACTTTCGTATTCGAGAAAAGGCTTGCATTATCAAAGAGTAATTTACTTACAAAAAGTTCAAATAAAACACTACTTGTCCGGAAAATTATAATGTTGAGAGATTGGTTGAATATAACCATTAATATTGGTAAAAGAACATAAGAGTATTTGAGAAATTTTGGAAAATATCAACAGCTCCAGAGGTTTTACTGCTTTATAAGTTCGTTAATTTAATTCAACGAAACCTTAGTACAAATTATTCCCCTTCAGTTAATTAGAGCTGTGAATTCAAACACACAGTCTGGTCTACAATATAATCCATATAGCTATAGTTTTGGAATGTCCTTTAGTGTAATGAAATTGCCAGTTGTTTGAACGAGTGCATTTTTAACATTTTTGTAACGCTTGCCTTATTCCTACTATTAATGCTTGCCTTATTCCTACTATTAATGTTCTCTGTTGTTTCATACTTTTTCACGCAGCTAAAATATCCAGGCAGGCTATACGTCATGACATATGTGATTTTTAAAGGGCTGTGTGGAAAATACATAAATATATTATATAAGAAGAGAATATGCTTATTACTGAAGAACTATATTATACTTATTTACAATATTTGAATATAGAAACAATTAAGGTTTATAAAGCTGGTGTAGATGTCATCATTTAATAGATTATTGGCAATTTTTAAACTTTGTTGACTCCCTTAGGATTTTCAACAAGTTTATTGGGATGTTACATAATTGTTCCAAAACGGTGCTCCTCTGTTCGTTTTTAGTCTAGGTTGAGACAGCTTTTAATTTCGCAACCATGCACTGCATGTATTCACAAGTGTGAAATAATTGTGTTATGTATTCTGAAAGCATGCCATTAATCGCTTTATATCGAATTCGTAATAATTTTTGCTGCTCGTTTCTGAAGCTTATACAGTTTGTCTAAGTGTGTTTGGTTATTACTTTGCCATACAGTTGAACAGTAATTAAAATGAGGCAGAACTAATTAATGCGTTATACATAATTTGTATAGCGTATCTAGGCCAAACGAAATCTTGGGCTTTTCTTAAAAGATTAATATTTTTTGATATCTTGTTTCATTGTTCTTCGTTTTGCCTGTTCCAGCTAAGTTTGCCGTCTATATAGCTATACCCAAAACTTATTTTTAATAAACTCTTTCAATTTGATGTCCGTTTATGATTTTGGCACGTGATTTAAGTTTTTCAGTTGTTGCCAAGATCAAATCATATATTCAATTTTTTCGTTGTTTATAATGTTAGTTTATTTGCTATAACCACTTTTAGCCTTTGTTAAGTTTGTATTCAACATCTATGGATAAATGCACTTGACATGATAAAATTAATTGTGTCATTGGGAAATAATTAGTTAGAGTGTGTTGTTTCTAGGCAGTTTGGGAGGTCGTTAATATAAATGAGAAATATATAGTGGTCCAAGATTTGAACGCTGAGGTAGTCCACATGCAACGAATTGTTTCAATATCAGATTTACAGTGATTATTTATAACATGCAAATTTGTTTTCTTTGATCCAAATATGATTGGAACCACTTGAACGGATGGCCGCGTATCCCATAAACTTGTACTTTTGACAGTAGAATCTGATGATCAATCGTATATATCAAATGCTTTTTCCAGGTCTAAGAATCATGCATAACCACATTTATTTTACCCTGCATGGTCCATTGTCAACCACATTTCAGTAGATTGTTATAACGAGCTTTCGGTTGAGTGATTTCGACGGAAAGCTGATTGGTTTTTTACAATTATATTATCCAGCAAGGTATTTAATTCATTTGTCTACAGTGGATTAATTTCTCAACATTTTGGCGTTATTCGAAATTATTGATATCGGTCTATAATTTTTACATAAGGTTTTGTTTCTGACTTATATATATTGTATTAACTTTGATAAATTTCCAATCATCTGGAATAATTTCTCTCCTAAGAGATATAGTATTGCCTGCCTGCTTTATTAGCTTAGTTGTTGAGATTTCATCTAGGTCTGCATGTAGATTTTTCCATCTGCGTATTTTGTATTTCTCCTCAGATCATATAACTAATATGCTCTGAAAGTGAAAAACATTTGTGACATGATTTATATATCATGGATCAGGACTATTGCCATTGTCAGCAATATTATTTGCTAATTTGGGACCTATATAATATATAGAAGTGAAGAATCTTTTACTGATTCATGGCCTACATCTTGCGTTACATTAACCAGTGTGGTTCTGGATTTCCTGTTTAGCAGATAATTCAATGTTTCCAACCTTCTTTATAATTTTTAATGTATTGTATAGTCTATAGTGTTGCAAAATTGAACGTTAGTTGTTTTGATACTTTTGTTAAGTTGATTTCTACAAGGTTTATAAGTTCGTGGTAATTTGAGGAGATTTAACTGGTTTTTATATCAGGCAGATGGTTTTGATCGAAATTATAAATCATATATATGTTTTTGTCCTAACAGGAGTACAAAACGTGGCTAAAGTGCATATCAATTGGTCAAGAGTAGCGCTTGTCGTGATCGTTTTTGTCTAGGGAACGGTAGAAAATATTCAGAAGTGGTATGGAATACCATAGCGGAGGAGGTTGGTTCTCAAGTGGAACAAGTTTGACAATTACTGCCGAGGTGATGTCCGCAGCAGCTGCAGCATTAGGTACAACAGTAGGATTTGGAGCAGTAGTAGGAATTGCTGTTGTCGCTGGAGTAGGAGTGGCTGTATTCACTTACCTGACGAGACCTTCTGCATGACAGCAGAAGACAATATGCTACGGAACAACTGTATACTGATAAGAATCATTTAAAGTAAAATACCTGTTCTCACCTGTTTGTAAAATTGTACTATTGTATTTTATATTGGTTAAAATTTTTGCATTAATTTAAAGATCGAGGGAAACAAATAACTAATCTGATGTATATCTGTCCGAATTTAATTAAATTAAACAGTACTTGAGTCAGTAAAAGCGCGACTATGTCGATTTTCCAAGCCGCTGTAAGGGATGATACATTTATTACGCCGAGGGGAAGGGTGGAGGGGATGAAGATGTTTTGAAAAAAGCTCATATTTTTACAGGGCCCCTGTTGAGATTGTTGGTAAATTTTCAACGCCCCTCTCCAAGTTTCTAAAATTTCCAATGCCCCTCCCTCCCCGCAGAATTTGGAATTGAAGAAGTACAATCTGGAATTCTCTCTTATTCGCAGAAACAATTTGCAGTTCTTCAAGATGTCTGTCTTATATACTCAAGCATGCACATGCTTCTTCTTAACAAAAATACCGACTTGCTGCTTCTTTCACCTCACTATCGCCAGATGAAATGGCACCGTCTTTAAAAAAAAATTTTTAGATTGGTTCTAGGGGCGAAATTATGAACAGGTTGTTGTTGTACGTCATTCAGCGTAATCGCAGTCTTGAACACGTTCATGTAGTGGTCGAGATTTCCTGGATCAGGGTAATGTGCTGGAATCTTAGAGAACCTCGATCCCACCCAACGTATCTCCTGGCATCTGTTGCAAATTTCGGCTTTGCGTGCCTGTCAAAAATTCATGCAAAAGCGCCAATATGCTTCAATTTCTTTAATTTTTATCCCGTTTTGTACTAAATATCCCACGAACAGAGAACATGCATCATTCTTACAAATCGTATGCTTATTTTGTTTTTGGAACTGTTACTTTGTGACGGGTAAATTACGTCACAAACCTGGCGCAAAAAAATAAGCTATAGGTGATTTCATGTATCCATTTAGAAGAGCAGACTAAGGATACCTTAAAACTGAAATCGGTTTCGAAATACACCCATCAGGGACGTAGCGAAGAATCTGAACTTCGAATTTCAATGTTAAAAATTTATCTGAACTGTAATAATTATAATTTAGCTTTTTGTGATTGATTGGCACTCTCATACTAAGTTTCGGACGAAAAGGGGGGTCTGGGGGTTGTCCACACAAAAATGTTTACATTTTTGAAGCACTAGGACTGGATTTCTGGAGTTTTTTAAAGCAAATTCGCAAACAAGTTGCACGTAAATTGACTGTATTCCACAAAAATAATTACTTTATTACACGCAAATTTTACCTGAAAATGTCAAAATTTTAACTTGAATTATACATATTTTTGCCAGAATTATACAAATTTTTGCCTTGAATTATACATATTTTTGCCACAACTTTTGTCAGAGATTTGAATGACTCTTCTACCTTCATTATTCCTCAAGGTTTGGCCATAGGGTAGTAAACGATGAGATTCAAGCATCCTGAGATAATATACCCGTCCAAATGCTATGTTACTAAATGCAAAGTGACTTACCAACAAGAATAACGAATTGGAAATCCTTATTGAAATAGTTTTTCAACACTGAAGTGCAGGTCTAAGTTTTAGAACAATTACTATATATACAGTAGGCAAAATGTGTGCATGAATCAGCTTACTATACTGTAATTAAGGTCATGCAGACTATTATGCTTGTTCGCTTTGGGCTCATTCAAAGCGGCACCAAAATCTTGCCACAACACGCAGTGGGAACTTCATTTAATATTGCCGACTTTCGAATCCAGTCCATTAAATATTGCCGACTTTCGATTCTAGTTCCTGGAATCAGCGTGATAAAATCTCTCGCTCGGATGAGCAATGTTTAGTTGCTGCGCGTAGGCCAGTCGATACGTACATAAATCATCATACGTCTTCGAAGAGGAGTATTGGCAATCTACCACTGCAAAAAACGTTTTCTTCGTTGGGTACTGGTATACTTGAAATATTCATTGAACTGCCAATATATAAGGGTAAGAGGTTTAATCATATCTATTTTACGAAATACATCCGTGTTTGACAGTTTCAACAAGTAGCATAAAGCAAGCATTTGCGACAATGTGCTACTGCTATAGATAAAGATCGGCGAGATTGTCATTGCCTAGATTGGCCAGCGTTTCTGGCCCTGAATTATAGTTTTCACGAACTTTCGGTGAAATTTCATTCAGAGGCATATAATTCTTCATCATTACAGGAGTTTGCAAGTCGACGAGAAACGGCATTTTGAAATATTTGCATACACTTTCGTATTCGAGAAAAGGCTTGCATTATCAAAGAGTTTACTTATCAAAAAGTTGAAATAAAAAACTATATACTTGTCCGGAAAAATTATAATTTTGAGAGATTGGTTGAATATAACCATTAATATTGATGAGTGAGAAATTTTGGAAACTATTAACAGCTCCAGAGGTTTTACTGCTTCATAAGTTTGTTAACTCAACAAAACCTTAGTTAATCCCCCTTCAGTTAATTAGAGCTGTGAATTCAAACACACAATCTGCATGGTCTACAATATAATCCATATAGCTATAGTTTCGGAATGTCTTTTAGTGTAATGAAATTGCCAATTGTTTGAACGAGTGCATTTTTAACATTTTTGTAACGCGCTTTGATGTTCTCTGTTGTTTCATATTTTTTCACGCAGCTAAATTATCCACGTAGGCTATACATCATGACACATGTGATTTTCAAAGGGCTGTGCGGAAAATACATACATTATATAAGAAGAGAATAAGCTTATTACTAATGAACTATATTATATACTTATATTTACACCATTTGAATATAAAAACAATTAGGGTTTATAAGCTGGTACGTGTAGATGTGATCATTTGATAGATTATGCATGGACAACTTTTAAACTTGTTGACTCTCTTAGGATTTTCAACAAGTTTATTGGGATGTGAATTGTTCTGTTCGTTTTTAGTTTAGGTAACAGCTTTTAATTACCACTGCGCAGTTCGTAACCATGATGCGCTGCATGTTTTCACAAGTGTGAAATAATTGTGTTATGTATTCTGAAAGCATGCCATTAATCGCTTTATATCGAATTTGTTATAATTTTGCTGCTCGTTTCTGAAGCTTATACAGTTTGTCTAAGTGTGTTTGGTGATTACTTTGCCATACATGCAGTTGAACAGTAATTAAAATGAGGAAGAACTAATAATTAATTAATGCGTTGTACATAATTTGTAATAGCGTACAATATCTAGACCAAACGAAATCTATGGCTTTTATAAAAAGATTAATATTTTTTGATATCTTGTTGCATTGTTCTTAATTTTGCCTGTTCCGGCTAAGTTTGTCGTCTATATAGATATACACAGATCTGAACTTCTTTCTAATAAACTCTTTCAAATTTGATGTCCGTTTATAATAATTTTTGGCACGTCATTTAAGTTTTTCAATCGTTGCCAAAATCAGATTATATATTTAGGTTTTTCGTTGTTTATAATGTTAGTTTATTTGCTGTAACCATTTTGAACACTTACTAGGTCTTTGTTAAGTTTATATTCAATATCTATGGATAAATGCCCTTGACATTATAAAATTATAATTGTGTCATTGGCAAATAATTATTTAGAGTGTGTTGTTTCTAGCCAGTTTGGGAGGTCGTTAATATAAATGAGAAATAATAGTGGTCCAAGATTTGAACAGTGAGGTAGTCCACAACCAATTGTTTCAATATCAGATTTACAGTGATTATTTATAAGTAACATACAAGTTGGTTTTTTTTTATCCAAATACGGTTGGAACCATTTGATATATGCAATGGCCGCGCAGCCCATAAACTTGTAGTTTTGACAGTATTATTTTATTATTTACTTTATTTTATTTATTACTTTCGCCATATTACAACACACAAAACTATAACAAGGGTCATATACATGACTATAGGCAGGGTGACCGCAACAGCGTGAGCCAATTACTGCATGCGGGGCCGAATTTGGACATGCATATACAAACATAAAATAACTATCTAAATAAAACTATAACTAATAGCAGCACTTATAAGAGGCTGAACCAGAGTTCGAGCGGCATTACACTTGGCACATATGGTTTTGAATGTTCTTGGATTTTCAGGATAGTAGGAAAGTTCCAAAGCACGGAAGGACTAATTTAAAATAGTAGATTTAAATGAGTTCAAATTTACCATGTTAAGTTTCAGTTCGTCAGCTAGGCTGTTACACACACTGGTTGTTCGAATTAGAAACGAGCGTTGTTGCGCCGTTGCTCTTGGGAATGACAAACTTAGGTATGTCCGTATTTATAGATGATCGGGTCGATCTGGCGCTTCGGGTTTTTGGTACTACAGAAGGTTTTATTATTACCAGATTGTTCACCATTTTAAAGAAAAAAACCAAATCCAAAAACTCATTGTGGAATTAATGATAAGGACTGTAAACGTGAGGTATAACCGTCTGGGCTGGAAAACGGCAGATTGAGAATAAATTTCGTGGCACGTCTTTGAACTTTTTCCAATCTTGCAATTAGGTTGATGGACTGTGGCGATCAGATCTGGGTGGCATATCCTAAGTGAGGGCGTACTAATGTTAAATACAATGCCCTCCTCACACAGTCACGCTAGTGTTTTGATTGAACCGCGCGTTCCGTCTGATAAAACCTAGCAACTTGTTAGCACGGGAAGATTGTTCTACTACTTGAGTATTCCAGTGAGATCAGTTGACATCCAGGTGAGATCAGTTGACATCCAAGATCTCGTTCCGATTTTATTATTTCTAGAGTTTCACCCTTCATCTTGTATGTAGTCAGCACTGGCTTCGTTTTGCGAGTGATAGACAGCGACCGACATTTACTTTGATTAAAGGGGAAACCAGAAGTCGACGACCAGGATTCTAAGTTGGATAAGTCCTGTTGAGTAATTTCGCATCGTTTATTGATGCGATAGACTTAATTATTTTCGTATCATCTGCGAACGTAGCGACTTAACTGGATTCGACGAGACCGGGTAGGTCATGAACATATAAGAGGAATAATATGGGACCTAGTATAGAGCTTTTATGTACACCAGAGGTTACAGGTAAGGTGTTAGATGTAGCACCGAGGGCGGTAACGCGCTGTCGCCGATTAGACAAGTAGGACCGGAAACATTGTAGTAGGCCACCTCCAAATCCAAGCTTGCTAAGTTTGGAAAGCAGCGGCTCATGATTGACTTCATCGAAGGCTTTAGACATGTCTAAATAGATTACGTCTATTTGATTACCACTATCCAGGAGGCAGCCGATGTTATCTAGTGCTTCGATAAGGTTGGTTGTACATACTTTCCCGTGAAAAACCCATGTTGACTACTGTGGACTAGCTGGTGGATATGGAATTTGATGTTGTTAACTACGCATCGTTCTAAGACTTTGGACACTATGCATGGTAGTAAGGATATATATAGGTATATAATTCTCTGTGTATCCAGCGTTGCCTTTCTTGTGTATTGGTACAACATTTGCAAGTTTCCAGTCGTCAGGTAAATGTGCCTGTGTTGGGAGATTTGTTGAAGAGGCAGCACAAGGATGGAGCTATGACTTCGGCTGTTTCCTTTAGCAGTCCAGCAGGGATTCCATCTGAGCCTGTTGCTTTTGTAACATCCAGCGCTTCAAGGACAGCTTGAATTTCGTACCCAGTTAGATTTACATCAGTTATGTTCGGGGTATCATCTGGCTTACAAGCATAGTGAGGTGAACTGTCATTGGCTGTTTCTTGTCTTTATCGACTGTTTTTAATCTTAATCGGCTGTTCTTAATCTTAATCGGCTGTTTTCATGGAAATCTTAATCGGCTGTTTTCAGTAGAATCTGATGATCAGGTCTAAGAATCATAACCACATTAATTTGACCCTGGTCCATTGATTTCAACCACATTTCAGTAGATTGTTGTAACGAGCTTTCGGTTGAGTGATTTCGACGAAAAGCTGATTGGTTTTTCACATTTATATTGGTATTATCCAGGAAGATATTTAATTGTCTCCAGACTAATTTCTCAATATTTTGAGGTTATTCGAAATAATTGATATCGGTCTATAATTTTTACATAAGGTTTTGTTTTCTGACTTATATATTGGATTAACTTTGGCAAATTTCCAATCATCTGGAATAATTTCTCTTCTAAGCGATAGTATCGCCTGCCTGCTTTATTAGCTTAGTTGTTGAGATTTCATCTAGGTCTGCATGTAGATTTTCCCATCTGCATATTTTGTATTTCTCCTCAGATCATATAACTGATATGCTCTGAAAGTGAAAAACATTTGTGACGTGATTTATATATGACAAAGGATCAGGACTATTGCCATTGTCAGAAATATTATTTGCTAATTTGGGAACTATATAGAAGTGAAGGATCTTTTACTGATCCGTGGCCTATATCTTGCGTTACATTAACACTGCTGTGGTTCTGGATTTCCTGTTTAGCAGATAATTTAATGTTTCCAACCCTCTTTACAATTTTTAATGTATTGTAATCTAGTGTTTCAAAATTGAACCTTAGTTCTTTTGATTCTTTTGTTAAGTTCATTTCTACAAGGTTTATATATAGTTTCGTGGTAATTTGAGGAGATTTAATGGAATTCAATCTAAGTAAAGAGAAGGGAATCAGATAAAACAGTTAAAAAGAACATAATGGAATTAGTAAAATTGCAAAATTTGGTTGCGAAATGTTGTAAAATACAGAAAATATAGCCTTGCGAAGTTTGCATATTTTCATTAAATTTTCATTAAATTTGTATTACGTGCGGAAATTTTTACCATTTTCGGCTCAAAAATGGTAACAATTTCCGCGCGTAATACAAACATACTGAAAATATGGAAACTTCGCAAGGCTATATTTTCTGTATTATATAACATTTCGTAATCAAATTTTGCAATTTTACTGATTTTAATAAGTTAATTCTTTACGAGAATTTACTTTTTTTTGCCTAAATAAAAAATTAGTCTAACATGCAAGTTCCCAGCGGGAAAAATGACGTTTATCCAACGTTGAATCAACGTTGGAAATGACCTTTCAGACGTTGAATAGACGTTGAAAAAGGGTTGACTATGCAAATTGGATCGACGTTACTGTTTGGACGTTGAAACAACGTTGAAATTAGGTTGCCAATCTCGTTAACCATAATTCAACGTTGAATCCACGTTAAAACAACGTTGAGATTGGTTCACAAATCGACGTCGTACATTTAACCATGAATGAACGTTAATTCAACGTCTGTTGGCTGCTGTTGAAGCAATGTTTGTAAAACAACGTCAGAGCAACATAGATATTAGGTTGTCGACGTCGCAACCTTTTTCCTACCAAATTTCAACGTTGAAACAACGTCGTGTGCCCGGTGGGTTGTCTATTGCTTTTTATATCAGGCAGATGGTTTTGATTAAAATCCTAAATCATATATGGGCGTTGTGAAAACCCGGAATGCCGGAATATCACGGAATATGGCGGAATATCACGGAATATGCCGGAATATCACGGAATATGCCGGAATATTGCGACATTTTCCCGGAATATACCGGAACATCACGATATTTTCCAATGGTAGCCATGGGCATGTACTAAAAGGCGAAACGTCGAAACCAAACGACCGAAACGAAACGGCCGAAAATGTAAATTACAGGAAAATTGAAAAATGCGGATACGGACGGACGGACGGGGGGGACAGGCGGATGGACGGGGGAAGAGGCGGATGGACGGGGCGGGGACAGATGGATGGACGGGGGAAGAGGGGGATGGACAGGGGGGACAGGCGGATGGACGGGGGGACGGCTTCATTTGACACGAAACTCAATTTTAAAATCAAATCCGCGTTTTGTTGAAAGGGATATATTAGGATATATTATAAAAGACTATTATTAATCGTAATAAATTGTCCGCGAAAAGTTGATAAAATACATGTGGAAATGCGGGGTTTTTCAAACCTTCGTAACGCTTGATCGGATAAAATGCGGATATGCTGCAACTTTCATGCTTAATTTTCTCAGTCATCTGGGTATATAGTAATCTAATTTTATGCAATGTAATGTGTTATATTTTCAAGGGCACGAAAATTAGCTACAATTGCCACTTTCATGCTTAATTTTCTCTGTTATCCGGGCATGTAGTAATGTAATTTTATGCCAATGTGATGTGCTGATGAAATTTGCAGTTGTAATTTGCGTTTGCGTAAAAGTAGTCCGTACGGCAATTGTCATATCTCAACGGGAATTTGAGTAACTATTTTTTTAAACCGATAACTGCATTGAAAAGTCCTTGAAAAAACAGCACATTACATTGCATAAAATTAG